ATACCATTAATAGCAATTAACGTAAATTACTGGTCATACTCATCAACTGCTCGAAAATTTTATGCAAGTTAAAAACAAATGAATGGGGGAAGATGTCAATTTGTTTAAATTAACTAAGTACCTATACTAAAGTTATTGGATATTCCTTCTCAGGAAGATTCTCCTCTTGAAAAGGGGGATGGGGAGATAAAACTTAACCAGCTCAAATAAGGAATGCATTGCCTAAAATCCACTTTACCAATCCTATTATTTTCACCTCTCTTCTTTCTCTTCCCCAACATACACACTTTTTCGTTTGAGAATATGGATCACAGAGAAAGAACACTAGCTATGGAGTTGAACTCGAATCCCAGCTCTGCAGACTACCTAACCCATGTGACCTTAGGAAGCCAGCCTCTTTGCATCTCAGGTCAGGCCTCTGATGATTGCTCCCTTCTCCCTCCTTGCCTCTTTCTCAAATGGAAGACATTCTGTAAAGAACACAGAAACAATTAATTGAAGGTAGTCCCTCTGCAGTTGGATGTACTGCTGCTGCTTAAGTACTTACAATATATTACTATTATGTTTAAGCTGGTAATATTTCATGTGACATTAAAGATTTACTGAATGTCTATTATGTGCAAGCTACTGGAAGTATAATAGAAAGGTGGAAAACCCAACCTCTACCCTCAAAGAAGGAAATAAGGCACATATCTGTTAAAAGAAAAATAACAGTACAAGATAGCAGCTGGAAAGTAACAGCTAACAATGGACAAAAAGTGCCACAAAACACTAAGTACTCTTATAGGGAGAAAATACAATCAACTTGATCATCTCAGCACATAAAGAAGGCATAAAAGGAAACTGTTATATCCAGGTCTCTCAGCCTGAGAAATTCAAAAGACAAATCTTCAGAAGTTGAGGGATGGTGAGAATGCAGATATTTTTCTTTGCTCTTACTCTTAAAAACCACTTTTAAGGAATTGTTAAAATATAAATAGAAGACAAAGTATTTATAAGCCTAACAAATGACAGGCTAAGATAACATATTTGCATAAAAGGCTGGCTGGCCAAATGCTACATACAAGCCATGGTTCAGATGTCACATGTGCCTCTTTTCTTTTCCAACCCTCCCTTTCCTCTTTTCAATTCTTTTTCTCATCCTTCCTTACTGATTTTCCTTCTCCACTTCTGTCAAACACATTCCTTAAGTCAACCACTGGCAACAGAAAGGTACCATATTATTATTAGGTGTAGTAAAGTACTGTTAACTCCATTTTAATAGAAACTGAGGGCACTTAAAACTAACATAAACACAAAGCAAGAGGCTCCTAATTAACCTCGCTTTTCAAATGAGACAAGATATGTAAAGAGCTTGGTAAACCTTACAGGGCTATATAAATGTTACTTTATAATTATCATTGTTATTGTTATTACATTGATAAAGCTTTCCTTTAAAAAATTCAGCTTCCTATCTGCAGGTATTCCTACAGCAGTTCACAATCATGGGTTTTCTGCAGAGTCCAAACTCATTCCCAGAAAAACAAAAAAAAAAGGAATTTATATCTGATATTTATTGGACCAAATAACTTTCCTTTCTGAACATATTAAAAGAAGTCAAGATTTTCAGTGTCATCAAGTAGCAGCTTAAAATGATTAGTTCACTTTCACTCAAAACTTTTTTTAAAATTTGAAAACAAAAAAGCAAGCTAACCCTGGCAGAAATATTATCATCTTCTTCCAAAATAAGGAAAAGCTTTTTATGAAATCAAGTTTTCAATGCTACTCCCATTTCCAAATCCACTGGGTAGTTTTTAGCCCAAGAACTTGTAAACTTACATCCAACTCATTCTGAAACTCCTAAGTACTTGGGACATAACTTGGTTTAGGACTAAAATATAACCAGCACCTTGCCCTGTCAAGTTGGAACCAAAGAACAAAAAAAATTATAATTAATCCATGAGCACTGATTAACTGCCTACTTTGCTCTAAGGGGTATATAAGGTGGTCAGGAGAACTAGCACCTCTGGTGTGAGGGCCTGCCAAGCCCTTTTCACGGCTGCTCATCCACCTTTGGTGTCCATCTGATTCACTCAGTTCTCACCTGTAGCTCCAAGAAGTTGTAGCGTGTGCAGTAGCCATACCCTGGTAAACTGTCTCAGCAGATGGGCTGAACCAGGTTGAAGGTAATTGATAGTCCCCCAACTCACTGACAGGTTTGTCTACTTCAATCACATGAAGACTTTCCCCAGTGGAATGAGATGAGAACAGATGAGAACAATTTGTTTCCTTGACCATAAAGGAGGGTGAAGCAGGCATTGTGGAGTGCTTAGAGCTTCGTCAGACATAGAAGATGCCAAGGTAATCCACTCATTTTGACTTTTGTCCAGCTGTTGGGACTTGGATGACTCAGGAAGAGAGAGTGAGGCTGATGACTTGGTACAATTCTGCCTCACTTAAATCTAATTTCATGCACAAGTCAAGACATCACCCATGATGTCATTGATCCTCTTTGAAAACAAAGGACAAACAACTTTGTGCTAAGTGCTGGGGACAAAAACCAAACAGTTCTTACCTTCTAAGGAGTATACATTTTATGGAGGAAACAATATATATAAATATAGTCACAACAAAACATGTACAAAGATGATATGAAGCAAAGAGTCAAGGGACAAGGAGTACTCCCTCCAGGGCAGGGCACCTATATAAAAAGGCTTTCAGTGGGACATAGCACTTGAACTAAGCAATGAAGGAATTAGAGATTTAATAGGTAGATGTGCAGGAGTAAGGACATTCCAGGCACTGGGGGGTGGGGGAATAGCTGATGCAAAGGCATAGAGTACAGATGTAATGTTACATACAAAGAACAGCAAGAAAGGCAGTATGATTCTTCAAGAGGAGTAATATGTAATAAGCTTGGAAAGTTAGACTGTGAAGGGCTTCAACTACCCAACAGAGAAGTTTGCATTTTATCCTAAAGGCAATTGTAGGTACCATTAGGACATTATGAGCAAGAAAAGTGGTCTAAGCTTTAGTAATATCATTTTGGCAACTGTGTGGAGTGTGTATCAGAATTCCACAGGGGAACATCTAGGGTATGGAATAACCACTAAAATATGTGTTCAGTATATAAGTAACTACTATGGAGAGACCAAAAAATGATCTATTTCCCAAGCAAGTTCCATATCATACACTTAATAACTTACTGTACTTCTCCTTCCCTTTAAAATAATTCCACAAGATGTCTAAATAGACATTTTTTTCATTCAATTAAAACATAATAGAATACATGTTTAAATTCATGTTACAATCTACAAGGAAATGCCATTCTCCTTCCACAAAGATTAAAAGGGATGAAAGGTTAAAGTGACATCATCAAATTAACAATTCCATTAATCTATCCTCAACAAATCTGTATAATCACCACACTAATATAATACAGTTCAATATCTATATGTTGTTAAAGAAACTTATTATTAATTAGAAATAATTTACGTGGCATTGTAGAAATTGGCATGTGTGAAGGGCAAACTGTTCTTTAACAGCCTATACTGGGCAATTTGTTAAATTGAGGTCAAGCTCACTAATGCATTCCTTGAACAGACCAGTTATCTCCCATATGCCACACACTAAAGGTTAAGCTTTATATTTATAATCTAACCCCATCACGAAGGTGTGCAAAAGGTAGTGGCGAAACAGTTCAAATAACTAAAAGTGTCTATCTTACTGATGATGAAAAAGTTCACTAAAAGCCTTAGGGATTCAGTGACTAGGTCTGTATAATTTACTATATAAACACCCAGCATAATAGCAAAACCACATTTCATAATTCAGGGATATGACTTTTGTCTACCAGTGCAGATAATCATCCCTATATAACTCAGTAAGATGGTCTGTTGAGAGTTGTGGCTAAAATTTTGTCATTTTGTACCCAATCTTATAATGAGCCTGACTTTGCTAGAACAGGACTCTGACAGACCAGGCTGGTCACTGGGTCCCAATCATGGCTAAGAAGGCAAATTTCTGATGATAAAAGGAAGCAACGTGGTATAGTAGGAAAGATCACAGACTGTTAAGTCAGGGGAACTAGGTTCAAATCCTGCCTCTGACATTTATTGCTTAAGTGACCCTGAACATTACTTCCCCTCCCTCTGCTTCAATTTCCTCATTTCTAAATGGAGGGAGTAGAACAGGTGACCTCAGAGGCCCCTTCCAGTTCAAGATCTGACACGAGGTGCCAGAATCTCCCAGTACCAATGTTTCTAGCCTGGTCTCAGAAATGCTAATTCCAGCGGTGCATTTAATCCTGATAATACAGGAAATCCCAAACCGCCTGCATGGGCTTCAAGCCAGGACAGCCTTTTAAAAACAGCAACAAAAAACTCAAATCTTCACTTTCCCCTTAGACTGCGGTTACCCCGGCCTCCTTGTGTAACATTCATTCCACGAAATGTCCTTTTGTTTCTTGCTCGGCCGAGACCCTCACTCCCTGCGGCTTTGGGCAAAGCAGCGTTCCCGGGGCTCAGAGCTCCCTGGGCTGCGGGCCGCATTGGCTCGACCCGGCCCGGCCCGGCCCAGATCCAGCCCCACGTCCTGGGGGGCGTCGTTTCCGCACCTGCCCGCCCCGCCCCCACAAGCAGCCCGGCCCCGACTCGGGCACCTTCTGGACCGCGTTTCCTCCCTCCCCGGGCCGGCCTGGTCCCCGCCGCATCCGCCCCCGCGGCTCTGCGGCTGCCCCCTCCCCCACCTGGGCCGATCCCTGCACGGGTGACTCCCCCCCTACCCCCAAGCATACTGCTGCCCCCCAGTCCCCAGGCCCGGGACGTGACCCGGCTCCCTCCTTTCCCTGTCCACTTTCACCCCCTCCCACCCCGTCAGCTCCGGGCCCGCGGGGAGTCTCCCAGGGGACACATGGCGAGGGGCCCGAGCCACTGACAAGGACCGGGACTCGGCGCCCGGAAGGGAGGACGAGGATCCCACCCGGGCTCCCAAACGAGGCGCCGCCGCAGCCAGCTGCTCACCTTTCTGCCCTGTCCGCTGGCGTCGCCGCCTCTACTGAGCTGCCGGAAGTGGCCACGCAACACGGATGGGGGCGGAGCTCCCGGCGCCTCGCTTAATTATTCATGAGGGGGAGGAGCTGGCGACCTCGCCCGGCGCGCCGCAGAGCAGGCGGGCTGTCCGCGCAAACCTTTAAAATCTGGGCAGTGGCTGTGGCCACGTGGGTTAAGGGCCAGGCTAAGGGAGGCAGGCCTTTGCCTCCGGGTTTTAGCATCTGAGCTCTCAACAGATTCCTTTCACATTGATCCACACCACAGGGCAGGGCAGGTAACCTAGTTTGACAAACGGGAAACAGACACACCAAAAGCAACCTGCCTCAAGGCAAATAAGAATTTAGAGTAGCTCCAACCAGATTTCCTACAGGGTTTGTTCCTCTGCTCATTAATGACTTGACTTAGCCTACTTGTGGCACTTATGCTGCCTCTAGGAGGTCCAACTAGAAGTTTCTCCCCACCCTGAAATCTTTTAGCAACTAGTTTCTGGATCATTTTTTTTGCACGTCATATACCGACTTGTAGTGTCCTCTTAATGACTTATGTGTGTATATCTTATTTCTCCAAAACACACATGATGGATGGTCAATAAATGCTTTTTGAAGGGATTTTACTTCTTTGCATTTCCCATGACTTCTAACATAAGGCTAGTCACACAGCAGATGGTGAAATAATTTTGAACGATTTCTTCACAGTGGTCTGACATTCACAAGAACTTTACCCTCTCACAGTCCTATGCCAGCTGCCTGAATTAACCATGTTAACTCCTTATCTCCCTTGAGAGGTTATTGGGTAAAACGGATAGAAGAGACACACCACCTTGTAGTTAGGAAGACCTGGTAATTCAAGTTCTGACTAGTTTTGTGTGCCTGTGGCTAAATTATTTAATCACTCTGTGCTCAACCTAAAACAAAACAAAAAAACCTTCTCTCACTCCTAGAACCTCTCAGTCTAAATAAAAGCAACCAAACTTACAGTCAACAAAATTTAGCCTAACAATGTGCACTGTACCAGGAACCATTGAAACCTTTAATGAGTGCCCTTTGTAATACTATACCTGGAGCCCTGCACTTCTGGAAGAATGTGGGGACACTGTTCCTTAAGTCACATTCTTGCCCCACAACTCCCCTCTACAAATTAGAATAGAAACTTCACAAGGAGATAAATGTTGGCACTAAAACTTTCAACCTGCTTTCAGCCAGAAATTTCACCATCAGAGAGTCATTGCGTTAGATGTAAAGACTTTCCAGAGTTCTGATCCCCCATTATAATGCAAATTCTCCCTACTCCCCACCACCACCTTTAATTTTAAACTGTTAATATCTACTTTTAGGTAACAAACAAAGCCTGAAAAGAATAGGAAACAGTTGGAGACTGAGGAGGGGGAAGAGATCAAAGTACTAGGGTACCAAGAGGGCTAACCTGAGGTTAGATTTAATCAATTTAACCTCATCAGAATAGCTAGAGAAAAAGAACACAAAATTTGGATGCAGAAGACCTCAGTTCAAATCCTGGCTCTGCCAATTTACCAGTAGAATAACCTTGGGCCAGTTCAGTTCATCTAAGAGCTGTGTAATTCGGGACAATTTACTTCACCTCCCCACGTTTCCTCATCTGAAAAAGAAGGGAGTCAGACAACGTTAAGTACAAGATCTCTTCTAACTCTAATGCCTATGATCCCAAGTAACTCTAAGCTTTTCAGGTTGCTCCCACCATCCACTTCCTTTATTCCTATCCTTATGTTGCTGAACAGAGCTGAAGAAAATCATGAAGCCATGCTGACTGACTAGGTACTTTATAAATGTATGTTACCTAATCTCAGCTGGGCCCTCACTACATAAAGTTAATCCTTGTACTCCCTTCTAAATCATTCATTATCACACTCACCACAGCTCTAGCAAATTTTCTTTGCTCTCTTCAAGCCTCCTATGACACTCTCTCACACGTACTTTCTAAGCTGTAGATCATAACTCATCCTTCACCCCTCAAAACTGAGGATATTCCCCATGAGTTCTCCTTCATCCCCTCTTTGTCTCTCATCAATCACTCAGACATCTTCCTCTACTCTCTCCCCTATCACATCCATCCAGGTCATGCCCAATAATGGTGGGTTACCCCCGGGGTTCTGTCCTGAGCCCTCATCCTCTTCTCTTTCTCTGGTATTTTGATTGCTGATCTCATCATTTCCAGAGGATTTAAGTAACATCTCTATGCAAATGATTCTCAGATCTATTTATACAGCCCTGACCTCCACTCTAGAATCTGACTATTAGACATCTCAAACTGAATGTCCAGTAGACCTCTTAAACTCAACATGTCTAAAACAACTTATTTTTCTCCCCAACTCTCCCCTCTTTCCAACTTCCATATTACCATCGAGGATACCACCAGGTTTCTAGTCATGAAGGCTCATAACACAAGCATATCCAACTCTTCACTCTCACCCTCCCTCCCCATAAGTGTGGGTCTCTCCCAACACTGTCTTGGGCCCTCTACTTTTTTCTCTTTATATTCTCTTACTTGTCATCTCATCAATTCACATAGATTCAATTAGTATCTCTATGTAGATGACTCTGAGGTAGATACTCTATTTCCTGAGCACCAATCCTGCATCACCAATTACCTTTTATATGTCCAATGGCATCTCAAATTAAACATGTCCAAAACACAACTCATTGTCTTTCCCTCCAAATCTTCCCCTCTTCCCAACTGCCATTTATTACTGAGGGCACCACCATCTTTCTAAGTGACAATCTTTCTAATAATTGAATGGCTACTTCCATCCCTATCATAAAAATATTTCAAATGTAAGTCAAATTTCCTCATTTTACAGATGAGGAAACTGAGGCTCCAAGAGGCTAAGGGACTTGCCCAAGGGACACAGGTAATAAGGAGAAGAATAAGAATTAAAACCCAGGCCTTTTAATTCTAAACCAAGTGCTACTTGCACTAAACCTTACTGTTTTCTCTTGGTTCTAGGGGCAGAAACTTCTGGTAAAGTATAAAGAGGGAAAATAGTCACATGAGTTTCCTTTACAAACCTCTATATTTCCCCTTTATCAGCACTAAATGGTAGTATGTGTTAGGATAGGGTAAAAATCCATTTTTACAACCCTCTCTTGATCTTTGAGATTGTCTTTTGCTGACCTTCAAGTCATGCTGACCTTCAAGTCACCCTCCCAAGTTTCTCAATGACTTTCTGAAGATAAGACTTAATTTTCCTTTCTACTGCATCCCTTGATGTCAGTTTCAGGGACCCTGATGTTCATGTTGAACGGAATGTTCCTATGACAACTTCTCAGTGTAATTAGAGTTTAGGATAAGACTATCCTGACTCTGGTAATGAGTTCAGGAGGTAGGATAGGGTTAAGTATGGATTTCTGTTAAGTTTTTTTTTTTTCAGTGCCAGATATCAGTGGTTAAAACTTGTCTAGTTGTTGAGCCTTAGCCTACCTCTTGATCTTATCCAGATGCACCTTTGTCCCTTGCCCTGGAAGAATCTGGCTTCCATTTGCCTACAAGCCCCGGAAAACCCTTAAACTTTCAAGTCCCCTTATCTCCCTTTGAAAGGACCTTACTCAAATGCCTTCTAGTTCCCTTCATTGTCTGTTCCCATTGTCTATTCAATCTCTCAGACCTTCCAAAACAATTGTAAACTACCTTTTATGGTGGCCTGGCTCCACAGTACAAAGTCTAGCTTCACTGCACATTTTTTGCTTCTTTGACATTATCTCAACAAACTAAGAAATACAGAGACAGTTGGTGGGAGGGGGGATTTGCCATTAGGGCTATTTAATCTGGTTCTCTGCTTCTGTGTCTTGGTCTCCCCTCATCAGAGCATACTGGTGGAGGGACACCCAAATCTCAAATTTTGAAATAATAATAAATTAACCTTCTCTTTCTCCTTGGACACCTCTGTGTTTTGCTTTTTTTAAATTTGAGTGGCATCCCACACAATGTTGAGAAAAATCTTGTTGCACAAGGCAGCAAACAGTTAATTATTATATTCTGGTCATTTTATGGGGAAAAAAATATGACGTGTACACATTTATAGCCTTTAAGACAATGAGATTTCTGTGGCCTTAACAAGAAATATAAGCCATACCATTGTACGCCAAAAATTTCCTGGGAATGTCATGGACAGACATCTACAAAGGATGAATTACTTATAGAAGGACAGCAGACAAGAGAGGAGGGGAGTACAGACATTCAATGTAACTCCTAGATTGCTCACTCAAACTCAAGATCTCAGTAAGGAAAGAAACAAGCATTTAATAAGTGCCTACTAGGTGACAGGCAGTAGGCTAAAACATCTTACAAATACTACTCATTTGATCCTCATAAAAATCCTGGGAAGCAAGTGCTATTATTACCCCCTTTTCACAGTTGAGGAAGCAGAGGCAGGCAGAGATGATTGGCCCAGGGTCACACAGTTACTAAGTGTCTGAGGCCAAAATTGAACTCTGCTCTTGCTGACTCCAGGCCCAACACTATCTACTGAATCACTGAGCAAGCTGGCTCAGTAGCAGATGCAAAGAAGTTAGGCTTCAAAAACAATCTCAGTGCCTGAGAAAGAAACTCAGCAAGAGGACTAGACTGTTCTTAAAATTTCAGTGGGATGTGTAACTCTAAACCCATTTGTGAGTGGTTACGCCAACTTACTCTCTCCAAGATGAGGAACCTAAGGAATTATTTGAAAAAGCTACTCATAAATAGCATCATGCATGAGTGTCTCATCCACAGTGATGCTATGTTTTTTTAAAAAAGGCCCCCCCAAAATCAGGATATGTGTGAATTATCAACCCCTGAATAAAAGAACTACCAAACAGAATAAGGCTCACACTAGGAAGGTTAGGACAAACAGTTAAAGGAGAAATGAAGCCTAAGATAGTAAAGAAAATAGAGAACACTTAGCTGTTGATAAGTTTGAATCTGTAGGCCCACATGAATTAATTTCATTCAAATCTCTCCCCATTTCAATCTGTCCTCCACACATCTGCTAAAGCGATTTTTTTCTAGAGCATAGATTTGACCATGTTATTCCTCTATTCAATAAACTCCAGTAACTCCC